TAAAAATTCTAAAGTTAATGTAAATTTGAGAAATCTTTGATATTTTATTCTTTAGTGATATATTTCCGAGCATGTAGGTATTAAGGGAAACGAGCTGGCAGATATCACAGCAGAGTCTGCTACGGAAACATCCAGTCAACCTGTTCTCTAAGAGGTATTAAATCTGTCAGGAATAAAATTACTAATAAATGGCAGTTACTTTAGGCTGTGCAAGTAAATAATGAATTCAGAGGAATGGAGAACCTAAAATGAAGAACTGGGAAGCCACTGAAGACAGGAAAGGGGAAGTCATTTTTAACTCTTTTCGTCTGCAGCACTAGAGATAAAATGCATGCTAGCAAGCTCAGTTTTCGTGTAGCTATGCATACGATTCCAAAACCACACGACGAATGATGATTTACGTCAACGCACAACTTTTGTTCACTGATCTCAACAGCGCCTTCTACTACCTCAATACCACATTTCCGTAAACAACACCACATTTCCGCCTTCTACTACCTCAACACCACATTTCAAAACTTGCTTATTCCTGTTCTCTTACCTACATTTGCACTTTTTTTTATATAATATTAAATATTTTAGAATAAACTTATGCATTTAAACCAGTATACGCAAATAGGATCTTTACTAAAAATGCAATACATTTGCTTTTAAGCTCTCATAAAATTAAGTTCTGGAGAACACCCAATAGGGTTGGTCTATTTCTTTCAAGGTCTATGATCCTATGATGATTATGTCCCTTTACGCAAGCACGTGTAGCAGTTGTTCTGAGTCCATGAACCAATTCTTCGATTTTAGAGCCCAATTGGGGATGCACCAAACTGTCGATGTGTGGTATCTGATGAAGAATGCCACTTAGTTCTGGGACAGATCATCATTGCATCCGGGTATGGAGGCCCCCTTAGTCAACGGCACAAGTCTACTCTCGTTATCGATGGACACACTTCCCTTTTGCAAGTATTATGGTTTAGGAAGCTATAGTCAACGACACCGATCCGCTTTAGTAGTGTGGTGAATGTGGATGAAATCCTATGGCCCCATGTTTTCCCATTCCCGGCCAGAATTCACGTGCGTTCTTTTCAGCAGGTAATATCGAATTACCTTAAGCAGGTAATATCGGCACCACTGGTTATCGGAAGCCTGTATCAGTGGCAAAAAGCAGGCAATATCGGCCGCACACGGCTCGGATTAATCAGAGCTGCTTATATCATCCAACTATTTCTATGGCTTGTCCTCGCTCCGGATATGTTACCTTTTGAGTATATACGTAACCATATGAAAAAAATGGCGGCTGCTATATTGCAGTATCCAGAATTTAAAACACACTTACCAATAAACTTGACTCCATTTATTGCAAGACAATACTAAGCGTCTGTTCGATTCCAGGCCGAGCAAAACTGCAGCACATAGTGAAGCATGCGGCAAGGCAACATGTTATAGAAAATGACTGGACTACGTATTAAAAATCCACCTGTCATTGCACAGCTGTTTTTTGTAATCATGTGGATAATATAAATCTTAAAGTAATTTTTGATTTTAAGTTGTTATCATGCATATGTAGAAGACATCCAATGCCCCTCGTAAAGTAAATAATTTTCTGGAAACATTTTCAACTCTGCTGATAACAGAATTCTATAATCCCAAAAACTTATTTTTAATATGGTTTCTCTTAAAATAATCATTTCATTCAGCAAAATATTTTGAATGCTTCAATAAGTTAAATACAGAAATCCCATGCAATTATATGAAATATTCCATGGTTATTAGTAATTAATTGTTACACAGACCAGTTACAAAATTAATCACGAGTTCTGTATTACAGCAGAAACAAGGAATTAATTTTGTAATTTCTTTCTTAATCTGATGAAAATCTGTTTGAAATCTCTTAGAAATTAACACAGAAAAGTGACTTAAATTAACGAATTCATTCTTGAACTTTGAGTATAAAGATATAAAGTATTATGCATTCATTTGACTAAATTATAATAAATATTCTGTTGTTGAAATTTTGAATCTGCGGGAATCATACAAAGTGCTAGATTTTATATTTACATCTATTCGACGCTCAATACTGAAACAATTAAAAAAATTCCATATCTTATTTTGAGAAATGAGGTTATTGTAAATGTTTACTCAGTGTCAGTGCCCACCAGCGGCCGAGCGGTCGCTGAACACTGGTAGTTCGGTCCGAGGTTCGAATTCCGCGAACGGGCTGGCTGCATGGGCGTTTTCGTGGTTTTCATCATGTGTAACGTGCATGCGAGCCAGTTTTCCTTAGAAAGTCCTCCACGAAGGCATTCTTCCCATTAGGGCAGATAGCCCTCAAGGCTTTGCCATAATCACACACACACACACACACACACACACACATACTCAGTGTCAGTATTTGAGGAAATAAGAGCATTTATTATAAAACAGAAAATATAGCTTTAGAATTCATTTACCTATTTATTTACTTAATGATGTTAATATGGAATGTTAATCTGGTATCTAGTTATATTGCATTTATTACATTTTGCCAGCGTTCTGTGGGTCTGAAAGTTTCAAGCAGAGCCAATCAATGAGCTAGCTTTCATTACATAACAAGTCAAAATACATGCAAGCTTGTAAGTATCGCTTTTTTATGTTTTAATATTAGTTGTTATATAGTTAATATATTTTATAGTTATATGTAGATAATATTAGTTATACAAGTATATTAATACTAGTAGCTACGCGGCCAGCCTTCGTCTGGCTTTTAAATGTACCGGAAAAATGCCTGAAGAGAATATTAAACTTTAAATTTAAAAACTGCGCAGAATTATCGCCGTCATTTTTCAAAGTGGCAACAGTGCTGATTTTCAACAGTCAGCAGTCTAGTATACAATTGAATAAAAAACTGTTGCCAAAACCACATTTCTAAAAGAATGAAACTATTAAAAATGATGCGATAAAATCGAAAAGACGAAATAAAAAAGTCTGATTCGAATTTTGAAAAAATCGCTCCAAGGTGCACTGGCTCTTGTCTAGATGCACCTAGTATATACCAAATTTCGTAGCCTTGGGTCTATTAGCTTACGCGCAGTACGAACAAAAGACACACAGACTCTTTCTTTTATTATATGTCGAGATTAGTTATTATATTTTATATTAGAGCGGGTTCATGTTTCTTTAGAAACTGAATTAAAATGTAGATTAGGACTCTGTCGTATACGAGTTACTGCAATTTAAATTACAATAAAATTTCTCTAAAATTACCACTTACGTTTTCGGAAAATTTTAGTTTTTTTGCGCAGGATTTTAGTTTTTTTTTTTTTTTTTTTTTTTTTTTTTTGTGCAGGCTTAACGAATATAACTATTGACAATGTTCAGTATCGTTATTTAATTATGTTCTCAGAAATACTGGTTACTTTCAGAAGGGAGTACCATGAGAGGTTGCATTATGTATTTATTTATTCGTGTTATTAGTATAATTATTTTCTAACTCCATCGTTTTTCAAAAAGAAGCAGAAGTCGAAGCACTAACTGAAAAAAGAGTGAAAAGAGGAAGAAGAGAAGAGAAGTCACTTTGTTTCAAAGAGAATTTATGCTTAAGGAAGGGAGGCGTTTGGATTTTCTATACATTCACCTCCAAGAATTCTTACAATGCGCAGAACTTCAAATAATAGACCGTTGATACAGGTATAAAAATTAAATTGTAATCTAATTTACTCTATATCAACTTAATCAGATATAACTGTTTATCCTGCTGTTTATATATGACTTTTACAGGTACACTGCGGAAAAAAAAAGGGGGACAGTTCTATATCTCCCGTTCTACTGGCCCGATTGACAAAATTCAAATTGCGTTTTTCATGTCTTGAAAGCGCGACTTAAGATATATATTAGATTTATATATAGCATTGCTGTAACATAGGTATTTTGACACAAAATTGGACTTTTCCTGAAATAACATATCAATTTTTATCCATATTTCGATTCTACGACTCAAATTATTCAGATGTCACGCAGAAACATCGTTAAATTGCATTCGATAATGGTCAAGATGGATATTTGCGTTGAAATATGATGCCTGAAAAATTTCGCGATTACAATACTTCCTTTTTGCTTCGTACAAGGAAGTAATAAGTAAACTTAATTTTATCACGTATTTTTGAAATATGTAACTTTTGTTGCCATTTGGTAAGAACTGCGTTCATAAACATGTTGAGTTACATCATTTTAAGCATGGTGTGTCTAATTTTGAGTCACTTCTTCAGCACAAAAACTGAATAGTATAAGCTCAATGTATGAAATTCTGTAGTAGGGTTATTATAAGAAACTCTGTTAGAAACGAATTCTCTTGGCTAGGTTATAAGGTATTCCTCCCGCTTTCCTAACGTCCTTCGTGGTGTAGTGGTTCTGCACGCTGGGCCGGTATTCCAGAGGTCCGTGGTTCAATTCCCGGCGAAGGCGTTTGATATTTTTCATCTTTTCTGCCCCTAAAAAAATCCGAATGACTCTACAAGTGGCGTCCGAACTAAAAGGGTTGTGGATGATGATTCTCCGCACCCAGGATTTGGCGACTAGGTCCCCTAAAACCCTAGTCGCCCTTTAAAAAGGGCAGTATATAAGGTATTTCTCTCACTTCCCTAGCGTGCCTTCGTGGTGTAACGGTAGCACGCTGCGTCGGTATTCCAGAAGTCCGTGGTTCGATTCCCGGCGAAGGCAGTTGCATATTTTTTCATCTTTTCTGCTTCCAATTAACCTAATGACTCTATAAGGTAATTATTAAATCTATTTCACATTAGTTTTACAGATTGTTTCACTGCTGTAATTTGCAGTGAATTGATTGAAAACCCAATAAATGTCATTTCTTTTCTCGTCGAAATTCTAAGGAATTTAAGAAAAAAATTCTAAGAAATTTTCTTAAAATTCATACTTATTTTTTAGGAAAAGCACGTGAAATTTTCTTCGAGAACGTGTAATTAATTTACTTTGTGAATGTGTAGATTTGTAAGTAAAAAGAAACAATAACGAAGTCCACAATTAACGGTATTTATTTCCTTCTAAAGCACTGTGAGTGTTTACACTGGAGAATGCGGCACAGATAATAACATTCTCTGTTAACTTATTGTTTAAAACAATGATTTAAAGCTAGGAACATTGGAACTGGGAAAACGACAAACTACGTTAGATCTGAATAAGATCTTTTCCACAATTAATGCACTTTTATTTCGGATGAATTAAGACAAGAATCCAAGAAAGTAATTACAATCAGAAAAATGCATCTATTAAAACATACAATGATCAAAATATTTTCCAGCAATGCATTGTATTGCTAAGTGTGAGAAAGCGCGTGGGTGCAAAGATGGCCAAATGTGCATGGGTTCAAAACTGGTATTACTGACATGAAATTCTTGGGTTATCTTCGTTACATTTGTAGGTGAAATATGCAGCTTTCGAATTTGGGAAATATTGCTGGGACATACTAATTAAAAATATCGTTCTTTCACTACGTGCATTAGTTGAGATTCATGAATGATTTATTTCTGGAAAACATCGAAAAAGACACAATAGATGTTGCCTCTTTTGAAAAATATTAAAGTCAGAAATGCGAGTAATTTAGTAACTCTTAAATGGAGCTGTATTAACTCAAAGCACTCCTAATTAGGAGTTTTTTCATATGAGAGGAGTATGTAAAGTGAATATTGGCAGTGTTAACAATTAACTAACCATGTATGTGCTTGAAACAGCAATTAAAATGTGTTCACTTAAGCCTTTCATTTTAATCATGTTAGTTGGAAACAAATTTAAACAAGCCATCAACAAACATATCTTTAAAGAGATGATCTCGATACGAATTATTTAAGAATTCAACTTTTGTTAGAGTCTAACTTTACATTAACAACGTATAATCTGTGTAACTTTCACTCTTTCGAGAAGAAAGTTCTCTGTAAATAAATGGCCATCTCTGAAACACTGAACAGGACACACATGTTCATTTATGATATTCATATTTAACATCTGGACGCTCGTAGACGAACACTATTAAAAACGTATGCATTCGCAACAAGTAACAGCAAACATAACAAAATTACTGTCAATCTAAATGGGACTACATTATATTCTGATAGAATATAACGTAAATTGAACATAGAACAATAAAATCATTTAAAAAGATCAAGTAAATGCATTTTGTAAGCAAACAGCAATGAGAAGTTCTGTCATACAATGAAAGTAAAAAACGTTTCACTCATTTCTGGAGAACCTTGATGTTCAGGGCTCTATTCTAAAAAATTCATCTTCCTTTTTTTCAAAAATATGATAGTATTCAAAAATGGTTCTTTCACAATGATTAAGAAATACATTTCAGGTACAAATATTTTATCTAAATATAATAAAAAACTTTTAAACTGTCCCACGACTAAAACTATCAAAGAGAGCGCAACAAAATTTATGAAACTTAATTATAAATAGATGCTTTTCCGTGGGAAAAGTTTGAAATGACAATACATGAATAGGCACTGAAATAACAAATAATGAACAGAGACTGCAGCACATGCTACACTTTTCAAGAATATGATTCCTAAGAATATTGCTAATTGCTGTCCCTGCCTGAATAAATTCAATTCTCTCTCAATATAAACATTTAAATATATTTATATAATTATATTATTTCGTTTTTATCAACATGAAATACTTACAATATATTCTAAATACATTTATATACACACAATACGACAACTAATATTTCGACTGGAGTACATAAAATAATCTCCTGTGAAGAATTAGTGCTTTACGTTAATTGACACTGACCTGTCTATATATATATATATATATATTTGTAATCTTATATCGGTGTATGTATTTATGTGTATATATATATACATATATATATGTATGTGTATTACTTGTATACATAATATATACATTTGTTAATACATATATACATATATACACACGCGTGTCTATGAATGTATGTATGCATTATATAACTACCACGACATAAATTCACTCTCTACTATAATCACACCCATGTGTTAAACACGAACACATACAATCAGAATGAAGAAATCTTTTATGCGCCAAAGTTGGAATCAATTCATTCTCTTACACTTTGGCACCACTAAGTTTTGGAAGACAGTGGATTTTGTTGCTGATGATACACATCATCAAACGCCCTGCACAATGACAAACGACAAAACAAACAATTGGCACTCACGTCATTTTATCGCATCTAACTGTAAGTTCCATCCTCCAAAATACTGAAATCAGTGTAATGGAGGTCCTTGGATGTAACATTCCTACAAAAGTTCTATTAAAATTTCAGGCATACGATCGTTTCATCTGAATTTTTAAAATGCAAAAAATTAAGCAAATTTGTCAAAAATGATGATTATTAAAATGATTTGGGCCCAATTTTTAACCGTTCTTTTCTATATGTACGACATTCACTTAAGCAACAAACATGAAACAAACATGAGTGAAACTACTCAAATGTTAAGTTTACAGATCGTGGCCGAGACGATCCAGCTCGTCGAGCATGAAGTCAATATCAGATTCTTGGACAGCTGCGTTAGAAATAATACTCCTGAAGAAGTTGGGTATATCCCCTAAAGGTTGGTAACCTATCATCAGAGTTCCAGCATTCATCATGCGACCCTTGAGTTTGGCTGTTAACTGCAAATACAAAACATGATTGCAGAAAGATACTTAAATGGTGGAACATGTCATATAATATAAGACAAAAAACTACATTTTGATCCATTTTACCTCTCCTAGGATTTCTGCTCTTTTGGGGGAATGAGGCATATTTCGTAGACGTTTTGGTATATACCAGAAGGACACATTGGTGCATTCAGGCTGAAAAAAAAAGAATGTTTTGGATATTTTATGCTTTTTACATGAATACATTATTCATTTAAAGCAAAAACGTCCCGTAATCTCGACCTAATATGGACTAAGATGGTGACAAGTCATCGAAAATGTGGTATAAGGTGTGGTTTGTTCACAACCTCATAATAACTGACTGCATATTACTCTATTGCAATTTCTAGCATAATAACAGGTTGTACAAAAGGAAAACAGTTCAACATTTTCATTTGCACAGACAGCATAACACAACACTTGTAACACAACACTTTAAAATTGTTAAGAATGTTATTAGTTCATAATTATTCTTATTATTGTTAAGACGTTATTAGTCCTTTACAATTAATTGTTAATTAATTGTTAAGGACTAATATTAGGACTAATATTATTAACAATTAATTGTTAAGAACTAAAAAGAATAACATACAAAACTGAAATTATTAATAGTTCTTTGCAGAAAATAAATTCGTGGTGCATAACTATCTGCTACACTCATTTCATCCTAGTGCAGCTTCATCGCTTAGACGACGGAGAAACAAAGTGTCCATAGCAGACGTACCTTGCTTCTCCAAGTAGTGAAGCATTCCTTCAGTTCTTCATCATGAGCCATTTTTTTGACTTTTCCGTTGTCTACCATCTTTTCATCTTCCGCTCCAACTTCATTTTCGTCTTCCTTCTGTTTCACTAGCGCATCTAGCTATGTCTCAAACGTTCACAGTTTTTTCCTTGCCCAGTTCATTCCCAAATAGCTTTTTCGAGGCCTAAATTTTCTTCAATAAATCCACTATTTCATAATTTTCTGACTTCTCTGCTTTTTTTTTAAACTCGCTCCTTCAATAGTCCAGCTACTTCTCCAGAAACGAACTAGGCTTATATTCTCGACTTCATTCCAAGATTACCAAGATTAAGATATTTATTCTACTACGTTCAACATGTCCATTTTCTTTAGTTTATCGATCTTGTAACGCTCCTCTGTTGCTGAGTTAAGAGATATGTGTGTAATTCTTCTTCCTTCTAAAAGGGCGTGGTTCATTGGTTGACATACTAATCATATTAAGAGGGGTAAACATGGCTACTGTGTTTTCGTCTCATAATTGTTTCTCATCACGACGGAATCAAGTACTGTAAATAATGAAAAGTACTCTCCGTTGCAGATTATTTGTTTGAGGAGCTTTCTTACCTAAGGAACAAACTACTGATAAAACTAATCCTTAAAAGTGGGTCTATTCATCTATGCACTTGAATGATTCTTATTCAAAGCAAGCAGACAGTAGAAGGTATTAGTCCCATCAGAGCATGCGTTTTTAAACACCCCGGGGATTATTTTATAAGCACTAGTTTAAGCTGATGGATATGCGGTGTTTTACATGCGCAGATTATAACACTTTCCTTACTTCTTTTAGAGCCGGACGCCATCCTTCCTGCCATGGATGTAAGTGTTTTCAAAAGCAGCAATCGGAAATTCAGACCAGTTATATATAGTTGTAACTTTGATCCTAAGATAGACCCTCTCTTTCAATTAATCTATGGAAATTTCCCTTGCATTTGTTAACATTTTCAAAGTCAGCAGATAGTATTTTTAGCCCGAAACGTTATACTGTGTGTTGCTCTAGTGCTTCTTCCACCTGTGGAGCCACCCGAAACTAGCGGTAAATCCAGGCTGTTCTCCTTGAAAATTCCTTGATGGCTTTGTATTGCAAAATGAATCCTAAGACGTTCTTGACAGAGTCCTGAGTGTTTTTGATTTCTCTTTGCTGCACGAACCTCGAAAAACAGCGCTCATTCACTTTCGTGTTTTTCATTTTTTTATAATTTTCTTTTTCCTTTAAATTATCAGTACATGCACATATCAGTCATCGAGACTGTATTTCAAACCTTCCCTTTCTCACCCTGCTATAGCAGTTCGTCTGCAATCTAAATGCATGATAATTTTATTAATGTTTTTCCCTTTATGCAGTCTCTTTAAAACTTCCAGTTTCATGCTAATTTGTTTCCTTTTTTTCTCGTTCAACATTTTCATTTGCACAGACAGCATAACACAACACTTGTGTACCGAGAAACTGTGTCAGATGAACTAAAAATTCAGCTTACAATAAGGCACAGCCCTAAACCTTCAGGCAATGCTGCTGAGAGCTAGATGCAGACAGAAATGTGAATGGTGATTGACAATGTCTCTATGACTGTCTGAAGCCACTTCGCTACTAGAATGAGGAATGAGTTAGATTCAAAGTGCCACGAAACGAATGAACAAAACCTATCACAAACTGCGTTAGACTGTTCCAAGAATCAGTATCACAAAGGGAATGATTCAAAAATTTCAATAATAGAATACCGTAACAAAACTTTGAACAGAACAGTAAAATATGCAGACATTCATTCGCATAAATGTGTACCGTACTTACAACTACTCAGTACCGTGACCGTGCGTGCGATGTTAGAAATTATTACAGTATAAATATTAATAAAATACCACAATATTTTAAAAGTAATGTTTTGTTTGACCAGCAGAAATTCATTTAGCGATTAAAAAAAAGATCATCGAGTTTTAAGGAATGTTAAGACGTCGGGAGTCGAGTTCGCGGGACTCTAGCAATATTTCAAATTATGAGAAACTTTACTCCTTAAAATAATTTCAAGGAGTAAAGTTTCTCATAATCTAAAAATTAAATTAAAAAATAAAATAAAATTTAAATTTTTTCTAAAGAAATTCTTTCTAAATTATTCACTAAAACTTTTTCAAAATAAAGTCATGAAAATATTGTCAAGAAGTTATTATGATACTAATTTGTAGCATGATCGCGAAGACTTGAGTACAGAAGAATTTTAGTTAGCTTATCTTAAAATTATATGTTTAATTTAACTGCGGAAGATCGATTATTTTAGTGAGAGATGTATTGAAGTTATTAAATAGAATAGTTGCTAGATTTTTGAAAACAAGGAACGTAAATAAGAGAAATTACAATGTAAAACCGACATTTTGTACCGACTGATTATGCTACAACACTTTTTAAAGATGTTCGGGAGAAAATGGTCTTTTCGAGCAAAGCACATTATCGTACTTTTGGTTGATAGAATCCTAAGATTGGGTTAAGAATCTTATGTACTTTCCACAAGCATGTGCACACATAATAGGAATTTCAAGTTCGCTGCTTTATAATGTGGGTAGATATGATTACTAGTAGAAAAACAAACATTATTTAGAATTCGAATCTAGGGTGTCTGCTTTCCCCTATGTATCATACTGAATGGAAACTCCGCAGTAGCTGCTTTTGTTATTTACATTTCTCAGATTAGCTTAATAAGTATCTACATTTCTTACAGCATTTCACGGCTGTTTATTATACTGTACAGCTCTCCGTAGTATTTCTCAATGACGAGAGTGGGAGTTAAAAAATATAGATAGGTAGATACTGTATGAAGGACTGGAAGTACCTTTCAGAATGCTTTAAGCACTTACAAGAAACATACTGAATGGAAACTCTGCAGTAGCTGCTTTTGTTATTTACATTTCTCAGATAATTAGCTTAGTAAGTATCAACATTTCTTACAGCATTTCACGGCTGTTTATTATACTGTACAGCTCCCCGTAGTGTTTCTCAATGACAGGGGTGGGATCTCAAAATTATAAATAGATAGATACTGTATGAAGGATTGGAAGGACCTTTTAGAATGCTTTGAGCACTTACAAGATTTTTTTGCTCTTTCATAGATTTAAGCCTGTTTTTTCTCTTTTCTTCTTTCTCACTCTTGGTTTAGCTATACAATACCATGGTAAAACCCACAATGGAAAAATTTTTTGGTGCTCCCTTTCCCTGATGCCTTAAGCATGTGCTTATTTTCTTAAAGATTAATCCAGCTCCGATTATATAGGTGCCTCTGAAGAAGCCGATTTCGCTTTTTTGCATTTCTTACATGCATCTGAAGAAGAAAGGGTGTAGGGATTTTAAGTTTTACTAACGTTTATTTTATTTTAAAACTTTACTGTCCCCTCTTGTTTTCCACTTCCAGCTAGAATAAACGCGGTTAGTTTTAGTATTCAAACTGAGCTTGCAAACTGTTAAGTATTTAAGTTGTGGCTTTTAGCCAAGAAGGAGTTAGAGAGAGACTTCTCGCTATCTTATTTCACACGCGCTTTTCAGTCAGCCGCTGTCCGTCTTTAAAGCCAAAATTTAGTCCTCTTGATATTGAAGACGTACTGTAATTTTCTCGTGAGGCCCGGTAGAGCATCACGCAGCAGCACCACAGGTCCGGGTTTAGATCCCCGGGCTGGGCAAGGTCGACTCAGCCTTTCATGCCTTGATTTACATCCTTTGGGTCGATAAAATGAGTACCAAGTTCGCTTAGGGACTAAACGCTGGGGATACTGCAACAAACTGACCACTTCTTCAGGATATATGCTTACGCACCCCAAGACTCACTATCAAAAAAGCAGATTTTGGGGCACTGCATGTCAGGACTCCAACATGTTTGCCAAACCCATTAGAAGAAATAGTAGTCCTGATAAGGGTTATTAATCATTTTCGAAATGAGCTGTGTTGGATTATTTAATTTTGACAATGCACCCTAATACAGGGTGCGGCAGGGGAACTTCCATATTTGAAACGCGCGCCATGTAGCGACATTTATTTCGAGAACGGTGGGTGGCGCTCATTGCAAAGAGTGGTGTCTAACGTTTTATGTCATGTAGGTTTAGTACCGATCATGCAGTGGACAAGAGAGAAGCGCGCTTTCGCCGTGGAATCATACTTTTCAACGTACTGCATTTTCATCCATATAAATTGGCAGTGGTGCAAAAACTTAATCCACTCGATTTTCTTTCACGAAAGAATGCATGCAAAGCTGTTCTTGGCAATATGCCTCATGATGCCCTTATGTTCTTTAGCGATGAGGCTCATTTTCATCTTTCCGGTTACGTCAATAAGCGCAAAACATGCACTACTGGAGTGGCACGAATCCCCGAGAACTTCACGAGCAGCCCCCTCCCATACAGAACGTGTGACTGTTTGGTGTGCATTGTCCAGAATAGGCATCATTGGACCATGGTTTCTTGGAGAATATTTCCCTGGACGTCTTATCTCCTTACGGGGCGATCTTCAGTGGCCAGAGCGCTCGCCTGGTTTAGCCCCGTGTGATTTCTTTTTGTGGGGCTATCTGAAATCTCTAACGTCTAAAGACCCTCGCTCAAATATATTCAAGCTGCTATCGACAACATACCCGTTGATATATAGTGTAAGTGGTAAAAGTGGAAAGAAACTTCAAAACTCGACTATCTCAATGCATTGCCACCATAATGATATTATTTTTAAATCGTAATAAAAAAACTTAAATGTTTCTCTATAACTTGGAAAAAAATAAAGCTGATATCGCTTATACTATTTGTGTTATTCATTTTTAAAATAAGGAAGTTTCTCTGCCTCACTCTGTACTATCTGTCCAAGAGAAGAGATACTTTAATAGAAAATATTTCTAAGTGAAAAGGATCTGTTATCTTACATATAGGAAAACATGAAACCTTGGAAGTATTATTATAGTCAGCCCATTAACTCAGCGGAAATAGAGCTCAAAGAGAACTATAGGTGCTATAGCAACATTGGACTAACAGTATTTCTCAGTCTGAGTCACATTATCGTCAGTGAAAGCTCTTGAAATATGTTTAACTGTTTTTTAATTTTAAAAGCTAACTTCTACTATATTTTGTTTTTGCTAAATTACTAGCTTACTTACCTGAGTTTATTTCAGTCGCTTTTGCTAAATACTGTCATCTTTCATTCAGTACATATCGTAATACTATAAATTACGGACACAGTAATTTATATCATATAAACCTCAGGCATAGCTCAGGAATGATTGTGAAATATTTTGATATACATTAATTGTGCTAAAAAATGTCGAGGGACACAATTGAAAACATTTAGTTGGAATTTTGTAGTGCAGTTTTATTCAATAAAGACTTTAAAATTAAGTAAGGAAAAAATATTCAACTTTAAAGTACTTAATTTTTATATTTAATTAAAATCGTATTATATTACTGTTTTCAGTGCTGTAATGCATAAAATAAACTGTAAATAACTGCTTTTATTTTCGTCGAAATTTTAAAAGCATCTCTTTTACTAAAGGTAAATGTATCGGTTGCTATTTCAGAATTATTTTATAGGTGCATGTTAATAAATTCAATAAATAATTTTCCTTTTCGTTTTAAAAGACTATAAATATAAAACTAGAAAGCAATATTAAGATGTGATTGCTTACTTCCTCAAGAACTAGGTAAAATTTATCTTTCCTCTCTTTCAGCTTTTTAACCATGTACCTGGAAAGAAAAATTTAAAAATAAGATAAACATTGAAGAACATTCCTTGAATAATTAAGGTAAACATTATATGTAAAAGTAATCTAATTCTATTAGAAATTGAAATGCGTCGTAGTAATTATTAGACAAAGCATTGACATGCGTTGTTGATTAGCAGTTAGGTGGTAAATGGACAAAAGGTAGATGACAAGGACAAAGGTCTTGAGGTAGATGGACAAAAGGGAATTATCACGTCGTCAACTTCACGTCAATTATCACGTCAGGTGCTCTAAACTTACTGTAAAACCTTACCCAAAGAGAATTTCAGTTTGCTAAACAATTTTTTAAGCAACACAACCTGTCCTCTGTTCGTTACCTTCCAAAGCATTTCATGAAACGTATTTCAATCAAAGAGGGATAGATCGGACTGAGGACTCAAAAACTATATTATTTACAACTCATCCTCTCGTCAAAGCAAATGTTATGAAGTTTAACGACGTATCAATGCAAGTGTCTGACATTTTAAAGTGCATTGGCGCAGAGACTTAGACAGAAAGGAGCTGACGTTCTAAGCTTACATAACCTAAGATTTGGAGTTGACAAGGCAGCTGACAAGTAGGATGACAATCCCTTAAATTCTTAGTCTTAACTCTTCAGCGCCACCACTCACCAAAAATGTTTATGTAAGTAATATGTTTACGCATGGAGTAACAGAAACTTAATACGAGTAGGGTAAAGAATACTTCGTAGGCTAATAAAAAATTTTGGATTACATCATGTATAAGGTATTTCTCACACCATCTTGGCGTGCCTTCCTGGTGTAGTGGTCTGCACGCTGGGCCGGTATTCCAGAGGTCCGTGGTTCGATTCCTGGCGAAGGCGTTGCATATTTTTCATCTTTTTTGATTCCAAAAATACCTAATGTCTCTGCATATGAAAGAAATTTAGCTACGAGTTTTCGCTGTAAATGGCATAGTTATCTTTATTTAATTATAGTGCAATACACTTATTCACCAAACATATACCAATTAGCATGAAATATTGCACTTTTAATTCCGTGATTTTTTTCATCCTTTTATGTTAGATAAGCATATTGACTTTTTGTTACTATTCCATTCAAATAACTAAAAAAGCAATTCATAAAAGTGGTATTCCTTTCCGCCCTATTGTATCAAATTTAGGTACTGCCTCGTATCCATTAGCTAAATATTTAGTTTCTAGATTTTCCACTCTATTAGACAATAACATTTACACCATAAAAAATTCAATAGAGTTTGTAAAAAAGGTTAAAAACATTTCTCCTCGTAATTTACTCATGGTTTCTTTTGATGTAAAATCATTATTCACCAATGTCCCAGTGGAGGGTGCATTAAGATGTCTAGAAACCAGACTTCGCGAATTTCATTTCTCTTGCATCGAAATTGATGAGCTAATTTCTCTCACTCAACTCTGTTTGAAACAAACACATTTTTTTTTCCAAAATAAATATTACAAGCAAACTGAGGGATTAGCCATGGGAAGCCCCCTCAGTCCCATCCTGGCTGATATCTACATGCATTATTATGAATCAAAATTGTTTGAAACTTTAAACTTCCCGGCATGGTTTCCGCTACGTAGACGATACTTTTACCCTGTTTGAAGGTAATAAAGATGATTTAAATAAGTTCTTTCAACAATGAATTCTATTGATCCTGCTATTCAGTTCACTTTTGAACTTGAGACTTGCAATTCTCTTCCGTTTCTCGACATTCTGGTCACACGTAACACATCCAACTTCAGTACTACAGTTTACCGTAAACCTTCATCGGTTTGCCTTCCACCACACTTTAAATCATGTCATCCGACTAAACAAAAGTTAGCCTCATTTTATTCCTATGTTTTCCGTGCTCTTCAAGTTTGCTCCTCCAAACTAGCCCTTGATGAAGAACTAAATTATTTAAAAGCAATAGCTATTGACAGGGGCTTTTCACCCAACATTATTAATCAAGCAGTTAAAAAATTCTCATCTCAACACACTAAAAGCCACACTCTTATTTTAGGAGATTATAAAAATTCTGTTGTCATTCCCTTCTTTCCATCAATTAGCTATAAAGTTGCACATATTTTGCAGAAATTTAACTTTCGGGTTGTTTACTCTCCCATCAATAAAATTCCAACTTCTATACTCAAGGACCCCATTCTGGATATGAATTCCTGGGGTATTTATAGGATTCCTTGCCAGTGCGGTTTAATTTACATTGGCCAAACTAAGAGAATCTTAAAATTTCGCGTCAAAGAACATGAGGCATATGTTAGAAAAAAGGAAACACAGAGGTCTTCTGTTGCTCAACATTGTTGGTCCAAAAATCACACTTTCAATTTTTCTGCTGCCAAAATTATTCAAAAAACATCTTCCATTGGAGAACTGGATTTTCTAGAGGCATTTCACATTCATAAAAATCTTTCTGTTCTAGTTAACGATCCTAATTCCAATCCAAATTTGCCTTCGGCTTTTAGAGAAATTATGTTTTAGTTCTGGTTTCGCCAACAGATGGCGCCACTTGCTTATTCTTGTCCAGGCTTTCTTATCTTATCTAAACATTATTTCTTATCTTGTTCATTTGCGGTTTTGCAGCTGAAGATGATGGTTCGGTAAAACCATCGAAACTAGTCCTGTGAAAATTTTGTGAATTAACGCTGATTTTTGTTGTTTGACTTCTGAATAAGCAATACTATTTTGGATTTTGAAGGCTTAGTCCGAGGAACTAAACTGCTACTTTTGGATCTTCTAGGCATAGTAAATTACTATAAAAGCCATAATTATTTAGCGTAATTTATCAGGCGGAGCAGAATTTTTATCTATTTTTATTTTTTATATGATCAATGCCAGCAAATGATACTGCAGCTATGATTTCCATTATAAAAAAAGACGGTTTTTAAACTCATTTCTCTGGAAATATACCGACAACCTCTATTCTGCATGACAGTGTAACTGTTAAAAACATGAACTAATGATTCGTTATGACGTAAAATACAAGCCTTTCTGGAATATAAAAGTTTTAAAATTGGCTTTTGACGAAAACTATAGTGTTTCTTTTATACACAGACAATATCGTCGCCTGACTTGTCGCCTGACTTAAGGTCACAAACAATATAATTTTAGCTAAATAGACCTAGAGGTAATATATGTAAAAAATGAGTAAGACTGCTGAAATAGCCTCACGCATAGAATAGTAATATTAATACGAAGTTCTGTTATAAGAAAGCTAAACTCCTATGAAGAAATTTTGACTTCATACCCAAAGTTAGAAATGCAAAATCCTCAAATACTTTTTCTGTAACAAAACCATTGTTGCTCAGTATTGTTAATCACAATATAATTATTTATCCTAGATTATATTACATGTGATAATATTGATTATAATTAATATGACGCAGGACGAAATTTCGACCAGATTTGTTTCAGATGATTTAAAAAACTTTCTGCAAAATGACATAAAATTAGCTAGCTGTAATTTTATCATCAGTATGGATTCCATCTCGAAATAACGAATAACGATTTATAAAGTGTAAATGCGGTAGGAAGTAGAGAAATGTAAGTAAAAATTTCAAATTTTCATTAAGAAGTTTCCTTTAGACCAAGCGGTTTATTTCTACTTTAGGAAAGAGCTATAACCAGAGCTTAAATTGTGCCGAAGCCCACCGGAGCCCGGCTGAGGTGGGCTTCGGCACAATTTAAGCTTCTTAGTTTTTTAGACATATTTCTAATTTTTGCCGGAGCGCACCAGAGCCCTAAATAAGAAGGCGCCGGCACTTTTTTTGTGTAACTGAGCAATTATTTTAGTAAAAATTTGATCCAGAAAATTTTATTTTTTGCAAGCAAATTACATAAAAAATTAAATTACATTAAATTTTAATTTATCTCTTTACACTTTACTTAATTTTAATTATTTAATTGCTTTAATATTTATTTATCTTATTAAATAATAATAAATTAATTAAATAATAATTAATAAATATTGATTTTTAGTATCAATTAATTTGACCCTCATTAACTATTTAAGTTTTAAATTATTAATGATATTTAATAGTCATTTTATTAGTCCAAAGGGATTTGAATCCCGAAGGACTATTAGTTTCGTTTTGGCATTTTGCGTCGGACTCATAAATGTCGGTTCACTTTTCAAACTGTTGCCACAAAATGTTAGAGTCCTGCATTATATTTGAAGAAATTAAATAATGAAAAATCTGCATAAATGTATGTATATTTCTCGTATTGTGATAAAACAACGGTACATAGAGTCATCGAATTTTGAATAACGTAATCCTCCAACGAATATGAGCATGTGGAAGACCAAATTTGAAATTTGAAATTTGTTTTATGATCGATTTCCTATTTTTTAAAACTTTTGACGAATTTTTTATTAACAAACTCAAGGATTTCAAAGCGAGCAATGGCAACGTTGTGCAGAAAAAACATTTTTATCTCCAGCGCGTGAGTCTCTGTATCGGAAATTCTAAAGATATGCTCGTTTTAAAACTATTTTGCGATATTGCTGTTGCACTGGATCTTATGGTTTAAGTGCGAGGAACATGATATTTAATAAAGAAAGGTAACACACAAAATGTTAAAAAACGCCCCTTTAGACGTAATTTAAAATCTGAAACATTTCAGATTTTTTTAATTTATTTATTTACTCTTGTTGCTCTTTCCTGATGGTTTTCCATAGGGCTCCGGCCCTTCTACTTTTAGAAATTAAGCCCCGGTTATAATGAAGCGTATTTATGTGCAAAAATAAAAGTCTAGCTATCTTCGAAGCGGCTCATTTTGGTTTCGGAATATTTGTATCTCACCTGTTAAAGGTAACAGGATCTTGTTTGGTATTAATTTCATTTAATAAACATGTCAAATCTCCGTGATTTATGGCTTTATTTTTGTATATCATTGTTGTCAGCTAAACTTATGTTGTCCATCAATTCCATTAACAGGCATACGTATTGCATTTACTCTTTTCATAATATTCATATCTAAGTTTATAAAT